AACTTTGTGCTTAACTACAAAAACAAGAACAAGGAAAGAAGAGACAGTCTGAATGATTTTGGAGCTTGTGTGATTTCGAAATGAAAAATATTAATGTTATAAGAAAAATAATACAAGGTATTTAATTTTGTCACTACGTTATTTTCTACACATACATATATATATATATATATATATAAACAAAAGTAAAACAATTTAAGTCAATTTTCTCGTAACCTAATTACTAGTTTCTACTTACTTAACCTTATCATTCTATTTTTTTTATTTAACAGTATTTGCTATAAGGATACACGTTGTTTTTTGTTTGTTTATTTTTTCCAGCAAAGAGTAAAATAAAATTGATACTACTATGGTAAACATAATACACAAAACAGAAAGAAATGTCTAACTTTTAAACTGAATAATTCTTTATTTTCTTCTGAAATTATTTCAAATTCAAATTAGCATCAAACTCTTTTATTTGTTTATGTTAGAGTAAAGCCACATTGGGCCATCTGCTGCTTTTACCGCGGGGAATCGAACCCCGGATTTTAGTGTTGTAAGTCCGTAAACTTACCGCTGTCCCACCGAGGGATTTCATAAATTCTTCTGTTTTAACCACTCGCACCACTACACAGTAGTGTTTTGTCTGTCAGGCAGTGAGTAGACACTAAAACGACGTTACATAAGGGACGCTTAACGTTGCAATTTATTAATTTCGTGACGTTAGTAAAACGTGCGCATGCCATGAATCACGAGAAAAATTATGCCCTCTGTAGCCTACAACACAGCATGACGTATGAACTTCAAAAGCAAGAAATAAAAATATTCGTTACTCTTAATTTTGGTTTTATTTAATCTTCAAACAGAATACTTTCGGGGTATCCTGTGGAATACATCTAGTTTATATATATATATATATATATATAACAATACACCTTAAGTTTTCTACAAAGTATATATAAAAAATTAAATAATTTACAAGTTGTTGTTTTCTAGCGGATTTAAACGAAAACGTTCCGAACCAAAATATTTTCTAATTTTTTTGTAGAAAAAAAAAGAGAAACTTTCTTAAACTTCACAAATAATTTAATTTTTATTCTACAAACCAAAGCTTGCCAATAATCGGTTCAAGTCTTTTTATATACCCAGCGCTTAACGTAAAAAAAAACAAAACAACAAAAAACTGTTCTCACGAAAGTAAATAAAACTAAGGTTGTTTTTTTAGTACATATTTTAGTAATATTTTCTCTTCTGAAAACTGGCAGTAACCTTTACATACAAGGCCCTCTGTGTATAATGATATGCGACGCTTTATTCACACGGGGAAAATTTGGTAGCTTTTAACCTCGTTTTCATCAACTTTTCCTTAAATTAGGCCCGATGTCTTTAGATTTCAAAGATACACAACAATTAGTTAGAGAATTTCATGTCAGTTTAATCGTACAGCAGCATAAACGCACGTGGACTTCACGTTCGTAAGGGTCGACATTATGAACAGTGCAGCGTATGTGATTATGACGAAGTTAGAAATCCTTCATACATTTTCAATGAAGCTTCCATATACACTCAAGCCGTTATTTCGCCTAACTAATTACACTTATTAAAATTGAAATTTCTTAATTAAAGTTTGCAAATTCGAGTAAGGAATCCTTCTGGGCATCATATCAGGTGCGTATCTCGAATTGCACGGAAACAACGACACAGAGTAAATACATGTGGATATGTAAACTAGTCAATACCTTGCTACGAAGCGGATTAAATAAACTCTAAACAAGGCATTTGAATATTCGGATATATTTACTGAAGAAGTATTCCTATATTTACGTCATAATTATCGTCTGATTTTATCTGTGACGTGATGAAAACACGTAGGTTTAAAAATCATTTAAGACAAAAAACACAAAACTCTATAACCCGAGCGCTTTTTCAAATGATGGATCTTTCTTTAACAGTTTAGTATTTGTGGGGTTTGGTATTTTTTATATGAATTAATTTAGCAGCGATAGAGTAGAGGGAAGGAACTGGTCAACATCACCCACCGCCAACTCTTGGGCCACTCTTTTACCATTGATTAGCGGGATTGACCGTCGCGTTATAACGCCCACACGGATGAAAGGGTGAGCATGTTCGGTGACAGGGATTCGAACCCGCGACCCTCAGATTGCGAGTTGAATGCTCTAACCATCAGGCCGTGCCAGGCCCGAAACAGAAATATTGCGAAATTGGTAAAAAAAAAAAAAATAATATACTGAGAACCCTGGATCATTTGAGTCGACTTAGCTTTTCTTAAGTTGGACCTTCTTGGGATTTTCTGACAGGATTTCAAACAGATAATCAAGAGAGTAAAAAGACTTATCCCCCAGCGGGTCAGCGTAAGTTTCGGGACTGAAATGCTCAAATCCAGAGTTAGATTCCCTGCAGTGGACCGAACGCAGATAGTTTTTGTATAGCTTTGCTCTAAAAGAAAAAAAAACAACATCAAGAAAGACTGGTGTAGTCAAACTTTAATACTAAAAATTAGAATAACAGTTGTAAAAAAAACGGGGTTACGAGGAGGACCACGTGACCTCAAAATGACCGTTTCTGGAAATATTTCCTTATTAATGGCTGTTCGGGTGGAACCGATTTCAAATAAAAAGTCATCGGTCAAGTCCGGACACCTATTCTCGGGTAAGTCCATCGTGCAATGTCCAGGTACTTCAGAATTCCGTATAAAAAAATATATTAAAACGTAATGAAAGCTTTCTTAATACTGACCAAGCATGTTACAAAGTGTTAGTTCATAAATAGTTTATAAAAATGGTGTAAAAAGTCGACGGGTAATTCTTGAATTACATCACATTATAATAAAGCGAAATGTGTAGATGACGTGTGGAAGAACTAGCATGAAAAGTGCTTCGTGTTAGTTGTTGTTGTTTTGAAATTCGAAGTTTCTAGAATTTTTTATAACGCAGTGATGTGTCTGTATATTAAGATCGTGGCAAAACTTAGGAAACAATTAGTTCAATACGAAATGTTTACTGAGTCGCGACGAAGAACACTTACAGCACTTCAATCAAAGTTTTTCTACGGTTTGAGATATCGAGGGGATTTTATTTCACGATTGGTTAGAGGAACAGTTTTCTGAGAAAAGCACACGATTAGACCAATTTCCTGCTTGAACGGCCCTATAAACTTTTAATCTGGCATGGTCTGGTGGTTAAGGCGCTCGACTCGCAATCTGCGGGTCGTAGGTTCGATCCCGTCACCGAATATGCTCACTCTTTCAGTCGTGTGAGCGTTATAGCGTGATGGTAAATCCCACTATTCGTTGGTAAAGTTTGTTTGCAATTAATCACAAAGCTACACAATGGGCTATCTGTGCTCTGCCCACCACGGGTATCGAAACCCGGTTTCTAGCGTTGTAAGTCCGCATACATACCGTTGGTAAAGAGTAACCTAAGAATTGGCGAGGGGTAGTGTAGATAGCCCTAGAGTACTTTGCGCGAAATTCAACGGACGTACAAAGCTTTTAATCAAAATATGTATGCAGCGTGAGATAATGAATATGCGTGAATTTATGCAAAACAGGGTTGTAAGAAACAATTTTCCAATGAAATCACAAGACTGAATTAATTTAAAGTTTCGGCAAGTTTCTTAACCAGTAATACAGTTCTTAAAACAAAAAAAACTCAATCCGTGTTACGTATGACGTCATTACATACACATGACGTCATTAGATATGCATGATGGTATTATACATGACGTCACAGCTAAAAACCGTTTTCATAATGACACATATGACAACGTCAGATTTTTTCATATTTTGTTTGCTGCAACAATTTAGTTAACAACGGGCTGTTGTATCCTATAACAAAATGTCCATATTTAACAAATAGGTCTGTCAGTATAAAACCAAACCTGTTTAATACTTTTAAGTTACTCTTTCACAAATCCCGATGGCCAGGTGGTTAGGGTGCTCGGCTAGCAGTCTGCGGTTTCGAAAGCCCGTCACACTAAACATGCTCGCCCTTTCAGCCGTTGGGGCGTTATAATGTGACGGTCAATCTCACTATTCGTTGGTAAACGAGTTGCCCAAGAGTTGGCGGTGGGTGGTGAGGCCTTCCCTCTAGTCTTACGCTGCTAATTAGGGACGGCTAGGGCAGATAGCCTTCGTGTAGCGTTGCGCGACATTCAAAAACAAACAAACACAAATCCCGAAACGAAATTTTTTAAATAAAGTGTCAGAATGTTCAGAATTCTATATGTTACTAAACGCGATTGTCATTCTGTAAATCACGAAAAAAAAATTATACGCTTGCAACAACGATTCTCTACAGTTACTTCAGACTGTAGTTTCAATCAAATAAAGTTTTTTTGTTGTTGTTGTTTTTTTCAGGCATTCAACGTGTTGGAAGAACGTCTGGCTCAGAATAATATTTGCATCGCAGTCAAGGAGAAACTGACCAAAGACTCTGGAGTTGCGTCCGAAGGAGTTTACGACAAGATTGTCCGAAAACTTCTATCCAAACAACGCGCCCGAGGTTAGGCCTAAGTATTTATTTTTTTAATCCTCGAGTCACTCGTTTTTAAACCGTTCACATATTGCATCAAAGCGAGTAATTTATTTTGTTCCTGTTATAACACTAAATGTCAAGAACTGACCAAACAAACAGAGTGGGATCAGTAAAACATCTAATTTTGTATGTAAAATTCATAGAATTGCCACAGCAGTAATTAGTAAATAGTACGTTTTTTTGTTGACTCCTATGTTATGATGTAACGAAAGGCCGAAGGTACTATACACGCCACCTACACTCGCTTTATTATAATTATCTTTATTA